CGCTTCTCCTGGAGAAGGTTTGACGTGACACGCTGGGTCCGCTTGGTCAAGTAATCCTCATGATTCTGAGCCTCCTCAAGAGCGTTGATCGCTTCATCTACCCTATCCGGGCGTACCGATGAGCTAACCTTCAAGCGGTCTGCCGCAGCACGTTTGCTCCGCGCATTCTGCTGGGCCTGGAGTAGCTCTCGCAGGAGAATATGGCGGTTGGTCAGGGTTTCCTTCACAATGAAGGCGTCTGAAGAGTGGTAACTCAACGGTTCACCGAGCGTGGTAGCCTCGGCGGTAGCCTGAACAGCGTGATAGTCGCCAACAGTTTGAATAATCTTGCCAAGTTTACGGTAAGCGGCGCCCAGGCCGGGATGAGTCTCCTGTACGCTCATCTGACCAAGCTTCACGCCGAAATCGGCTTCAGCCAATCCAAGCCCTAAAACAGTTAGATTCAATGGGAACAATATGAAGCGAAAACAACTCGAGACTCCAATAACATACCACGACGGGCCTTGACAACTCGATCGACCTTGTGGCTTGTATCCATTGATCCCAAGTAGAACATCTTTGCGGTTGGACGAGCAGCTTGCAACTCAGGTGTGTCGTCTGGAGGCGGTGCGAACTGCTTCAACATCTTCCGTCGCACGCCGGTTGCCGGTTGCTTCATCCGCAGCACGGGGCTATAGCCAAAGTCGCTCTCCACGAACAGCACAACCTCGTCGTCCTGGATGAGGACCTCATTGCTCAACACAACATTGAGCCATCTCTGGATTGCTGATTTGATGCGAATCTCATCCTCCTCGGTGCCTGCACCGGCCGGTGTCACTGGCGATGGCACGGCGGGGACTAGAGCTTCCGGGTTGGCGGAGACTAGGTGGTCCGCGAGCTTCACAAATTCGGAATGGGTCCGACGCACATCACGGTACTGGGTCGTGCGGAACTTGGGGATATTGGTCTAGTTTCAAAGCAAGCAGGAATTAGCTACGGCATAAGCGGAACACAGTAGAAGGGGCCGACCTACGTGGACATCGAAACGCAGGATTGGGTCTTTCTTTCCCGTCCTCTCCAGACCAGTGATTTTTGCTTGGATCTTATAGACGGGGGCCGGGGGCCGTGAGTCTTGTCGTGCTCCGGTCTGATATTGTGCGGGGGTAGCAAATTGCTGTTGGTGGGCGATTGGAGATTGGTGCACACCGAATGGGGGATGCTCGGGATAGTCCGGGTCTCCTAATTGTGCGCTCTGCAGCTGCGCAGAGAGGTCTGGAGATTGGGGTTCCCCATTGTGGCCCCTGCTAGCATCCGCTGATTGCTCCTGGCCAGGTAAAGGGGAGGACGGGATGTCATTGTTGGAAGTGGGGAATGTGCCTCGCTCAGCACGCGGTGAACCCCAGGGTGAGGCACCAGTGGGAAGATCTGGGTCGGTAGAGATGGTAGAATAGTCCATCTTGGTCGAATATTGATGTAAGGAGTATATTCGCTGACAAGGGGGAGTTGGCTGGTCATGGTAGGCGTCAGTATTAACCGGCGGAAGATCAGACCCCCACAGCAACGACCAGCTAGCTTCAAGGCACTCAAAGACATACCTCGTGCAGCTTCAAATCGAGAGAATATCCGAGACTCGTTAAATTAGCATAACAAAGAGAGCAAACAAACAGCAAGGGTATGAGCAAAACAATCTGGGTAGTTGAAGAGAGGTAGTTGTCGGAGTTAGTTACGTATGGAGGAATGCGTGCGCCAAGCCTTGCGATCACCAGTCCGCTTTGCGGTCCGATTTTCTTTGCTCTAGAGCTTGATCTTCCATTGTACCTATCAATAACAATTAACATACATCTCAATGCCAATTTCAACATAATTTCGCATCCTTTCATCCCATATTACATGAGCGCTTCCCCTTGGAATGGTCGTGGCTCCGTTGATGCGCTTTCCCCCGGGGTGCGCTGTATGAGCTCCAATCTATATAAGACTTCGAGCAATATTACATGCAAAAATACATGCTCCTCCCTCAAAGGTCTTCGGTCCAATTACAGACAGCTTCAACGCTTTTCCACGACATCTGCATGCCATGATGAAGCTCTGGACCGGACCCGGAACATCGGCATTATCGCCCACATCGATGCAGGCAAGACTACCACTACGGAGCGCATGTTATTCTACAGCGGCTTCACAAGACGCATTGGTGATGTGGACGAAGGCTCAACAGTAACCGATTTCCTTCCTGCCGAGCGCGCACGCGGTATCACTATCCAGTCAGCCGCTATTACCTTCCATTGGCCTCCTGGAGAGGTAACTGGAGCGTCAGGCCCCCAGGCGGGAACGGAGAATGAGCCCACTCCGCGGTCTGCCTACCCCCATACGATCAATCTGATTGATACCCCTGGCCACGCAGACTTTACATTCGAAGTCATGCGGTCTCTGCGCATCCTTGACGGCGCCGTGTGCATATTGGATGGTGTTGCTGGTGTCGAAGCGCAGACAGAGAAGGTTTGGAATCAGGCAAGCACATATCGCATTCCTCGAGTCATTTATGTGAATAAGCTAGATCGTGATGGAGCCGCATTTGGTAGAACAGTGCGAGAAGTCAGCACTCGCTTGGGTGTTTATCCAGCAGTTTGCCAGATACCGTGGTTCGATGGAGGCAACGGGCCCTTTATCGGAGTAGCAGACGCAATCCATCTCCAAGGACTACGTTGGAAGGAAGGCGAGGATGGCCGCACCGTGAAAGTGGCCGACCTTAAGCAATTAGAGGCAGAGGAGCCGGCCCTAGCCGCAGAGCTGCGGCGGGCACGAATTGCCTTGATCGAGCTGCTTAGTGAACATGACGAAGATATTGTTGAGAAATTCTTTGAATGTGAAGAAGATCATCTCGCGGTCTCGTCAGCCGATATCATCGAGAGCTTGCGCCGGTGCGTGTTGGACCAGACGAGTCGGATTGTCCCTCTATTTGCAGGTGCTAGTTTCCGGAACATGGGGGTTCAGCCATTGCTGGATTCTATAGTGAATCTTCTCCCCAGTCCACCTGAAGCTCCCGACCCAGAAGTAAGCATTGGCGGTGTCAAAGGAGGTCTTCGGGACCTACTGTCAGGGGACTTAATTGTGGAGCAGAGCGAGAAGGCGTCCGCGCCATCTAAAGGGAAACAACCAAAGAAAAAGAATTTGGCCTTGCAGACCAGTTCAAAGGATGCGATCAGCAAGCTTCAAAGCTGTGCACTAGCATTCAAAGTGGTTAACGACGCAAAGCGCGGAGTTCTAGTCTACGTGCGGGTATATTCCGGCTCCTTAGATCGCAACAGCCTTCTATTCAACACAAACCTGCAGTTATCCGAGCGCGCCCCGCGTCTGCTGAAGATGTACGCCAACGATGCCGTGGAAGTGGACTCAATCCCTGCCGGGCACATCGGTGTCGTAGTCGGGCTCAAACAAACCCGAACAGGAGATACCCTCGTGTCCTACGCAGGGAATAAAGCCACTCCCCCAGAGCCACTTACCAGCCTCCAACTCCGACCAATTGCTGTTCCACCACCGGTATTCTTCACCAGCGTTGAACCGCACAGTCTAAGCGAAGAGAAGCGCATGAAAGAATCACTCGCACTCCTCCTCCGTGAAGACCCCAGTCTTCACGTCAATATAGACGAAGAGTCAGGCCAGACGCTTCTAAGCGGCATGGGCGAGCTGCATCTCGAAATTGCTCGGGACCGACTAATCAACGACCTCAAAGCCAAGGCCACAATGGGCCGCATCGAGATCGGCTACCGAGAATCCGCACTTGGCATCTCTAGCCCAATAACCAAGATCTTCGACAAGGAGATCGCCGGGCGAAAGGGTAAAGCAGGCTGCACAGCAGTCGCAGAGCCACTGGATGAAGACCTCGAATCCCCAGAGGTAGACCAAGACACGCTCCTCGTTGAAACCTACGACGGCAACCAGATAATCGTCTGCGCCCCTGGTCTCCAAGTTGACCGCTCCTCCCGTAGCGAAGAAGAAACCAGCCCATTCCTCCCACCGGGCATGGACCTCGTCGCGTTCCGCACAGCGCTGCAAAACGGAGCTGTGGCAGCACTCGCCCGCGGCCCTCAATTCACATTCCCAATGCATAATACCCGCATCACACTAACTATCGACCCGGCCGCCGACCTCTTCGGCAACGAAACAACCACCTCAGCCCTCTCATCTGCCGCACGTCAAGCCACAGCCGCTGCGCTGCAGGATGTGCAGTTTGGCGCGGGGACAGTAATGATGGAGCCGGTGATGAATGTGATTATCAGCGTCGACGAGGCGAGTCTCGGCTCCGTCGTCCACGACATTTCGTCCTCACGGGGTGGACATATCATCTCACTCGACGAGGAGGTACCGCTGTCAGGTACGGATGCATCGTCAACTTCTGCATCCACACCTGAGGAAGAGGCACCGCCACCCATTGATCACAGCCGTGTTTATGCACCGCCGGACCCGTTCGAGACGCCTTCCGTTGGCGTGGAAATTCCTGTTGCTGCGACTCGGCCGCGCACAATTATCGCAAAGGTGCCGCTTAAGGAGATGGTTGGGTATCTCAAGCATTTGCGAAGCTTGACTGCTGGTCGGGGCACTTTTGTCATGAGTGTTGATCGGTTTGAGAAGATGTCTGGCCAGAGGCAAAAGGCCGTGCTTGCGGAACTGAGAGGAGGATTTTGATCGCTGACTCTTTGATCACTGACTCTTCGGTCTCAATTCGGATTCAGCTAGGAATTTTCTTGTATATCATATCTCATAGTAATCGCTGTACCAATATTCTTCTACTTTTCGGCCACCTCCTCTCCGGCCTCTCCAATTGACGCCAGGCCAAGCTATGGAGTATATGGACTATGCATCTGATCTTCCCTTTGCCAAAGAGGGGAGTTCTAACGAGGTATATGTGGAATGCAGATAGAGGGCAGAGTAGACACAAAAAGACAACACGGGACATAAAGTCATGGCACAAAAACAGCGGCCCACAAACAAACAGAGAAAATCGAGTAAAATAAGGCGCTTATATGCTACCAGTTGTCATCCCATTCATCCTTGCCCTTACCCGTCGCCGAAGCCGTTGTATTCTTACCCTCTGCGGGTTCTGCACCAGACAAACCAGGTGTGGAGTTAGCCAGAGAGGAGGCAGTAGGACCCTTGCGCATAGCAGCGGTCCCAACAACATCAGATCGTTGAGACCGTTGTGATGCAGTGCGGCGGTGGTTGGATGTATCTTGGTCCCCCATTGACGAGAAGTCATCCCAGAAGTCTCGGCGCTCAGGCTCCACGCGATTACGGCGTCCGTCACCGCGTCCATCTTCTCCTTCAACAAACTTATTGAATTGGTCAGCAGCGCCGCGAACACCTGTTTGTAGGTTCTGGCCGAGCGTTGAAGCATGGATGCGGGCCTGGGCTGCGAAGTCGGATTCGGCCAGCTAGATATCCATGTCAGTAATTGCGCCCAAAGAAACTACACATGTAGACACTATAAAATCTCCCAAGCGAGGTCATGCACATACCTGTTTAGCTGTTGGCTGTAGATAAGCATCATTAACCTGTTTTGCGCTCTTGCCAACCGTTGAAGCAAACCACCCAAATCCTTTGGTGATAGTGCCCATTGGGTCCTTCTGAAGATCTTCAAACGGCTGGCCGCCGCCGCCGCCGCCGCCACCCCAACCTCCAAATCCGCCAAAGGGCGAAGAGCGCCGCTCACTCGCAGAGGCCGCAGGCAAACCACCACCGAAACCAGTAAACTTTCCACCTTGTGAGGGCGGCAGGTTATCGGCGCGACTAGCATTCTCATTCCCCAGCTTCGCGAAGTAAGCCTCGTTCTGCTCCTTCTTGCCGGGCACACCAGCCCGCTGGCTGTCACCAGAGCGAATAGACGATGCTGCAGGTGACCCAGCCCGGGCACCAGATATAGCACCCGTGCCGGCACCAGCCAAGCTCAAGGGTGTGCTCGATCGCGAGGGATTATTCTTCTTCTCCTGGCCTTGGATGTACTCGCGGCCGTCGACTTTGCACGATAACCGCTCCTTCCATTCCTCGCCCGATTCGCTTTCATATCGTTCCTTGATAGTCGAGTCTTCGAATGTGCGACCTTCTGAGACAGTAACTGGGTGTTCATCGTAGAAGGTCTTCCAGGGATCGTTACCTCCCAGCTCCATGCGTTGGATCTCGGCGTGTTTAAAGGCGTCCATGGTGATCGAACGGACGAAGGAGATGTGAACACCTAGCCCGCGATGTGTGCCGGCGCAGTTGAGACAGATAAACGTTCCAAACTTCGGGGAGGCCTGGTTAATGTGCCCATGGCGGGCAAGGAGTTAGCAGAGTGTGTGGTTTGCGGGGTGTGTGAGTGGGTTGTTGGGGTGACAATGCTTCTCGAGAAGACAATAACCAGTGCGATGGGTTTCAGAGAGAGGGAGAGAGAGAGAGAATGCGTACCCATTGGGGCGACGGGGCACCGCAATCGCAGCACTTGTCATTTCCGTTGGTCTTGGAGATTTGGAGGAGCTGTAGCACATGTCTGTGTCAGTGACTGTGGCGCGTTGCGGTATTTGACCTGGCAGCACACCTTTGTCCTCGTTTCTGGGTCGACCTCCCACATGCGAGACATAGTGATAGTGAGTGAATATACAAAAGCGAGCAGGTGAGACTTCGGGAAACACAATCCAAATAACGGAGTGCGCTAGTATGTTGTAGGGTTGACCGACTCGGCACCGACGTTGAGTTGATTTACCCCTTTTTCTCGGATGGAGTTACGCGGAGATTGAAAGGTACTGAAGACAAAAAAGCAAATGCAATTGGCTCAATGATAGAGTAAAAATCAAATGAAAAGAAGTGAAACAATACAAGTTCTATGTTTTGCCTCTGATCGGCAAGGGTCGGACATTCGCGTCATCCCCAACCAAATCGGGTACACCCACTTTGTATAAACTGCGATGTCCATTTCCATTGTATAGGTGTGGACTACTCCGTACTCTTAAATACAATATGCCAGGTGGCAGATCGTCATCATTTAGTAAATGTGTGCTAAGGTACAATACAGAAGGCGAAGAGAAAAAAAAAAAAAGAAAGTCGTTAAGGACGGAAAGCACATCAGCTAAGATGGCTCTCCTGCATGGTCAACTGATCCATGTTGTCCGATAAAAGTCATGAATCCAACCCCTCCAGGGTTCTCCCCAATTCCCCCCCCGCAATCGTTGAGTAGCTAAGATATTCACGGTGATCTGTGGTTTGCAGAGCACTGTGATCATATCGATATGATCCTCTGTTGAGAACCCCCTCTTCTGTTTCTCAACCCCAAAGCCTATTATCAAGTACCTGATTCGGTCGAGTGGAATACGTTGGGCATTTAAGCCTTGGTGGTGACAGCAGGAGCAGCGTTCTCCTGAGCAGGAGCAGGGGCAGCATCTGAAGCAGGAGCGGCAGTCTCCTCGGTCTCGGCCACAGCGTTGATGTCGTCATCTTCCTTACCGGGGCTGTCGATAGCGACCTTCACAGCGATGACGCGACCATCAATATCCTTGCCGTTCATCTCACTAACGGCCTTGGCCTGGAGCTCCTCCGAGGCAAGGTTGACGAAACCAAAGCCACGGGTCTTGCGGCGCTCGTTGCGAGCCTGCAGCTTCTTGATCATGAAGCGGGGGATGGGACGCAGGGCAACCTTAGCAGAGACAGGCTCGTAGGCGGCGAAGATCTCCTTGAGCTAAAGGGAGGAAGTAATGTCAGTCAATGTAACCCCAAGCGGAAAAGAAACGGAAGGAAGAAAAATAGATGTAACCCACCTTGTCCTCAGTCAAGTCGTACGGCAGGTTAGCAACCATGACCTTAGTCTTAGAAGGAATGCCATCCTCGGGGGACCGCGCTGCTTCTGGGGGCGTGCTGCGCGGGTCTCACCAGCCTTGGAGGCAGTATCCTTCTCGTTTGCGGTGTCAGCAAGGGGAGTCTCGTTGACAGGGGCCTCGGTGGCTTCCTGGCCATCCTGGGCCTTGCGAATTGTCAGCATCCAGTTTAATGTGTCGATGTGCGTGGATTCAAGCAGGGAAATAGTTTGGGCACATACAGCACGGCTACGGCCGGTACGGCCACCACGACCGCGGGCACGGCCACGGCCACGGCCGCGACCACCAGCACGCTTGCGACCCTCGGCACCACTGGCACCCTCACCGCCACTGGCAGCACCTTCCTTGGCCTCGGCGGGCTCGGGCTTGCGGGCAAGCTGAACGGACACCTTGCGCTGAAGAATCTCCTTGCCAGAGAGGGCCTCGATAGCGGCAGACGCTTCAGCGGCAGTGGCGATATCCACAAACGCATAGCCAACGGGACGGTTGGTGCGGGGGTTCACCGGGATCGAGGTGGTCTCGCTAAGAGATGAAATGTGTCAGAAAGGACCAGTAGAAAGGGCCAATAAATGATGGATGTTTGTTTTGAAGGTGGGGTTATTTGGATTTGAACCACCAACCCGGGAGTTACTCACATGGTGTATGTCTTGAAGAACTCCTTGAGCTCCTCCTCGGTGGTCGCGTATGCGAGATTCCCGATGTAAAGACGACGGCCCTCATCTGCACTGGCAGCCGCAGCATCGGCAGCCTGGGTGGAGGAAGGGGTAGCACCGTTGATTTCGGGCTTATCGGTCAGGGTGGTCGCAGCCACGGAGTCAGCAAGTGCGGCGACGTCAGACATCTTGAAGGTTGGAGATGTTTGGATGATGAAAAGTGTCGGGTTGATTGTTTGCCTAAAGCTGAAAGAGACTTGACAGGAGGTGGAGCGAGGGGAAGGAGCAGGGTAGCTTCGTGCCCTAGATACCAATTGAAAGAGAAGATGAAATTGAAGTTTTTCGATGCACTAGATCTTGAAGAGAGGGAGGAGGAGGAGGATGGGAGAAGGAGATGGAAAGGGAAAGGAGAGGCGGTGTGGCACTAGCCCAGTGAGAGCTCGAAGTGATGGGGCCAGGTGCGATCGAGGTACTTTCCTTCCGTCAATTGGGCTCTAACCCCCTAACCCGACCCCTATTCCACCCCTATTCCACCCCTAACTAACCCCCCAGCTCACCCCTAATTTTAGGCTCCCAACCCCAAACACTCCCGAGGTTCCTTTTCCCCCCAGCCCCGCCTTAATTGAAAGCCTGACTCAGAACAGCTGGCCTGATGTCATTCTGGAGACCCTTTGAACCAATTGCCATCTGTTCCCTTCTTCCCTATTTATTCCTACGTTTGACCTACTTAGGTAGGTATACTCCGTATATCATACCACTCTGCTATTCATGGATTCTATAAGTGTACGGAGTATGGAGTACTTTGTTCTTAATTAACATTCCGCTCAATTATTACAAAGTACTCTGCACATCTGCAGACCATCCTAAACTCTATACATGTGCATGACACCCGTGTGACATGTCCTATAAATACTTCCATGGAATCAAAAAAAAAGGGCCGATCTTCCACCTCACCTGGGCATTTATCTCCACTTAATAATCTCCATGCCTTCAGATTCATCCTTGTATATTATTATAGGTGGCAGGGATGAATATACAATTTTCTACCCCGTACTCCGTACTAACTTAAATATTCAACCAGATCTTTTATTCAGCCTTGCATACTCCGTACAGTCCTGGAGAATCTTGGTCTAGCCTACATAGGTAGCACACAATGACAATATTTGTTCACTAACACAATATCACAGTGGTCTCACAATAAATCTCTGCCCCACGCGACCTTGGATTTAGAAACAATTTATTATTCCTTAGCCTCGTCTCGGCTAGTTAATTTTTCATCTGCTTAGTTTATGGTACTGCTTTCAAAAATATTAGCCGATTGTAGGTCAAAATGCTTCATGAGCAGCTTCTGGTTTGATGGCACAGACATTTGCTTTTTGTCCATTGCAAAGTCAACTAAGAGATCCTTGCCTCATTCTATGCATATTAGATCTAGGTTTAGGAAATATGTGCTTTGACAGGAAGCTTCACGATTGGACTAATGGGTCCCCTGTCTCTAGTCATCTAGGTAATGTACAATGTAGCGGTAACCACCCATGTCAAAATGATATATTAAACAATTCAATAGGCGATCCTGAAATGACCATGGAATGAATTAATCTATGCCTTCTATCAATCAAAAACCTGTCAATCGCTACCAGAGAGACACGTGCACATACATGTATGTAGATATAACTAGTAGTTTGTACGATATCTTGTAAAGTACGTACATGTAGATCTACATGGGTTTTCTTCCAGTGGCGTCCCATTATGGTCCACGGAGATTGCCATCGTTGCATGAGGCACCTGGACACCTTAATTATCAGGCGACATAAAAGCTTGGTACAGTCGTAGTGCACTTGAGTAGCTTCTTGGCTACAAGTCAGGACTTGCCACTGTGCGGAGTACATATATAATTGAAAATATGTAACCTATAATATTGAAAAAGAGACCCCTGAACAAAACAAATACAAATACAATATAGAGGTAGAGACCTTGGAATGCAAACCCAAGATCGACGGTTTAGTGTGATATTGAGGGACTGTGCACTCCACTAACTCGTCACTGTGGAAAAGAAGGAAAAACAAGATTCGGGAACGGATGAGTCAGCCTTGGATTTAAACACCCCAGAGATCCAGAACGTCTACGGACTGTTTTCCATGTGGACCGAAATGGGGGAGTTTCAGGTCCTTGGTTAACTTATATTTTCCTTTCAATATCTCGGGGGCTACTTGTATTGTGTGATCTTGTCCCCAACCTTCCGGAATTCGTCGCTCCAGCATTATGGATCGCATCGACCCGGTCGAGGACCCCAACGCCCCTAATGGGAACCCTCAGGGGACCCAACCCACAGGGCAACCCACAGAGTCCGGCCCCGTCAGGCCAGCAGGTCCTGCCCCGTTGCGCACTCGAGCCGACTCACGGACGCGACGACCCAGTATTCGCCTGTCTCGCTTCCCATCTATCCCTTCAATAGACACCGTTAATCACCCGTCTCAACCCGAGGGTCAAGGTCAACCACCGTCTTTCGAGCCGCAGCCCATCAGATCCCCTGCGCCCAACGAAGAGGACGAAGCATGGCTCGCAAATCGACGGCGCAGCAACTCGGAGCCAAATCCGGGACGATGGTCATCCCCCCCTCCCGAAGTCCTCTCGCGAGTGGCGACTCCCATGCGGATGATGCCTGTGACCGAGGAATCCTCACACCAAAGTCCGGTGCTCCCATCTCCAGCGGCAATATTGCCTGGTCGAGAGACTCATTCCGATTGTGAACCTGATCTAGAGCAATGCGAGACCCCTCCCCAACTAGCGCGACCGGCGGGTCGGCTCCGGCGAACTAGCCAAGCTGCGTTGAATCGCTTTACTCGAAACCGCGCATCCACGGTGACGGGAGCTGCACCGACTCTAGACACACAGGAGGAGCAACGGCAAAATGAGTATGGATCCCACGTGGTGGATGTGCTGGACGTGATCGGTAAGCATTGATACCAAGCGTGATACAGAAACCATGGATTTAACTTACCCGAATGTAGACCCCGAGGTCTCTGCGCTTTCCACCCTCACCAATGTCCAAAACTCTCTCTTTGTGCCGAACCTGGGTGGGTTCATCAATCGCATGCCCACCTATACGATTACACGACCACAATATTCCTCGGATGAAGAACAGGGAACTACAACCGACGAAAATGAACCACCCGAGGGCGACAAAACTAAACAGCGCCCGCCTTTAGAACAATTACAATCATTCACGAGTATGTCCTCGGCGTTACGGGGTCCCAAATATGCCGTTCTCCCAGAAGGACATGGACTTGATGGATGGACCAGAGAAGACTACGCCGAACTCAATGATCATGTTCGGCATATGCTTCACTCTCGACGGTCCAAGTTCAAACGGTCCATGAAAGGATTTAGGCAGTACGTACGGAAGCGTGAGTGATACTCCCCGCCAAGATATCTTTGCTTAATACTAATCTTGCCTAGCCCTCGGCTTTCTTGTAACTCTCTACGCAACCTTGATCACCCTGTTCGGTCTGGCTTGGGTTCTTTTCTTGATCGGTGGGATCTCTTTGTCCGATACTTTTGGCCAATATGCTAACAGCCACTTCAGGTTGGATCAATGTCGGCGGAAAACAAAGTTATGTTGTCAATGTCATCGATAACGTTTTGGTTGCCCTGTTCGCCATCATGGGTGATGGACTAGCTCCTTTCCGCGCTGTGGATACATATCATATGGGCTTCATTGCCCATTATACATTCTTATCGTGGAAAGTTCGTCGGAAGCGGGCCCTGCCAGGCCTCAAGGACAAAAATGATCTTCCATCGAAGCCGGAGAAGGACGTCGACATTGAATTTGGCGACATGGCCAAGGAAAACGAACACGAATTCTCTGTCCTCGATGCTCGCCAACAGTTGCGATTGATGCATCACCAGAATAAGTTCGCGAAGTCGCATACTTTCTATAAGCCGCACGAAACCATGACCCACCACGCCTTCCCTCTACGCTTGCTTATCGCTATTGTCGTCATCCTCGACTGTCATTCTATACTCCAAATGGCTCTTGGTGCCTGTACCTGGAGTATGGAGGACCCCGAAAAGCGGCCATTCGCTTTGACAACGGTTATTCTTTGCTGCTCCATCACCTGTAACATCACGGGTGGTGTGATGATCATGATTGGTGATCGACGAACCCGAAAGAAGGATGTTGTTGAACGGCTCTTCCGCCAACAGTTGACCGAAGAAGCCATGAGGAAGATGGAAAAGAAGAAGATCAAGGAAGAGCGCCGCAGTGCTCAGATTGAGCGGTCTAGTGCCCAAATCGAACGTTCGAGTGCGCAGATTGAGCGGTCGAGCGCTCAAATTGACCGCCCAGTGCCGTATGGCGGCACCTGATCGCAGCAATTTCCACGTCCTCACTTACGAATGTCATGACATGGGCATTAAGAACGTTGGTCTAGCTGTGTCAAAGCGTTTCTTTAATTTGCCCCACCTGTACAGCGTTGTTGTTTTACATATGCTAGGAACGGAGTTTCATTGGATCTCATATAGGTATAATATTTGCTTTCTGTGATTTTGTTCTCTGGCCTACAGTGGCATTTTGCTTTTAGCTGATACAATTCAATGGCTTGTGGTTTTTGGTACATAAGGTTGATCTCTGAATACGACTGGTCATCTAGATGCTTTGTGCAAAATAAATGAATCTCTTCAGCTATGTATTCGATATAGATATACGATATAACCACCATTCTTTCAAACAACGAAAGATACAAATCTCATAAGATCAAGAGAAGCCCAGTGCCTCAAGTGGTGATAGTAACCTTCTCACCAACCCATTTCCCTCCACCACCCTTAACGATCTCCTCAAAGATCCACTCGCCAACCAGAGCCCGTGAAATCGTATACCCAATAGCAGGAGCCTTCTCCGTCCCAGCCCTCACTTTCTCAAGTCCCACCCCTTCACCCCCTTTCTCCCCCTCAATCACGGGAACAAGGTGGTCCCCCGTTAAGAAGCTAGGCCTCACAACAACAACCCCAGCAGCAAGCACTCCAGCATGCCCCAACCCAACCTCCTTATCAAGCAATTTCTCCATCTGCAGCTTATCCGCATGAGGAATCGGCAGGAGCACAGAGTACATAGGTCTGAACCAGAACGGCACATCCTTATTACCAGGCAAATGTCCCGTCGTCGAAATAACGGTGACCCTTGGTGCAA